ATTCTTTATTGTTGCCTTCTTTACATTTTGTGGCTCTCTGAACTCCCTGCCCCTCTCCCCACCCACCCCTCCACCACTACCACTACTCGGAGTAATTCAGCCACATATGTCCGAAAAGAAAGTTGATTTCTGAAGAGGAATGTTAATACAGAAAGTGTCACCCTGCGCTGTGGTTCTTAAGGTTTGCTATGTATGAAATCCCTCCTAATCCATATTTTAAAGACTGTCATCAAGAAAAGTTTCACCAGAGACGGTCTTTAACTTTTAGTCTACAAAGTTTGGAGAGGATATTGTGCTGACAAGCTTGTCATCAGTTACCATGTCAGCAACAGATGTTAACAAAATAGCCCCAGAAGCATTGACTGCTATTCCAGCATCGTGTTTTCAAGGCGATAAGTGGATAGTATTTAGTGTGCTTTTTGTCTTTTCATGTACCAGTTTTATCTTGCGGTACCTAACTCTGTCTCAACCACCTTTCCAAAGGTCTGGAGGACATTTAATAACCAAAAGAATGTAATGAGTCAAAGGGCCTTCTAATTTCCCTCTTGACCTTTTCTGAGATGTTTTTTTTCCATGTTTTTATCAGCTTAATGTGATTAAAATGTGGTCAACCAATAATGTTTAACTATACGATGACGAGGCGTGAGAGTGTGAAATGATAAAAGAAACAATTTGTCATTTAGGTCTTCATCCTCATCTTTTGTCAGAATTTGACATCTTTAACTACATTTTTCAACTGTGTAATCAACACCTGATGGGACGACTCATCACATCCTCATTAACCATTCGTTCATTCGTCCCCCTCAACATCGTCCTCTGCTTCATTTTCCTCTCTTCCTCATCCTCACGGCCCGTGGTCCGCTCGCCGTGGTCGACCTCGCGGCAGGCGGAGGCCTTCGTCAGCAGGAAGTGTGAATGCTGACGCTGTCATCGGGGAATCCTCCCCTCATTATTAAACACCAAATCTGGTCGCTGGCTTTTATTTCCTCCTGTTTCCGGATTCATTATTTTTTGCTCAGTGGGAGCTGCCGCAGTCTGATGAGCTGTCTGCTTTTACACAACTTTAATAATCACAAAACTTGACACACAGCTGCGGAATATTAAATATCACACTCCTCTTCATGAGTGCTTGGATGTTAATTTTGCACATCCACACCTTAGAGGAAATGTGGGAAACTTTGTCTTTCCTGTGTCAGTTTTTAAAACAAAACAGAGGATCAGCAGGTGATTAATGCTGTTAAGGGACTTATCTTGTCCATCATTTCTATTAGTAATATTTACTTTGTACTCCTTCAGTGAATATCTGAGGTCTGGAAACATGGTGAGAACACAAAAGGTCAGCAACAAAAGCATCCAGACAACCAGACTGTCACCTGAAGTGGCTTAAATATGTATTCGGCATGGATGAGTCAGATCAGCTTTAGTTTTGTTTTCTGCTTTTGTTTCATTTAATCCATGAGGTTCAAGTTGCTTTTTATGGCCAAAGTAAATAGAAATAAGAACTCTCATCACAGCCTACAAGATTTCCCAAAGTTTGCCACAGAAGTCTTTTTTTTTTTAGGGGTAGATCATATGCATCACCAGACGAACCTGTTACGGGAGCTCTGGGTAAACATCTCCCATGAAGTCTTGCCTACCAGTCCTCCTGTGTTGAACCAACTATTTAATATGATTAAATGGGAGTTTTTGCTGACAGATAATTGAACCACGGTCATCACAGTGATTACAAGCTTACACATGGCTAACTGCTGGTCTGTGGAAGCGGCTCAATTTTTGTTTTATAAAATCTAACATTTTTTAAAAACTCTTACTAATTTATCAGTAGCATAATACAGGTTATTTAGCTACTAACATGCTTTGTATTCTTCACAAACCCTGAACATTGAAGCAACTGATTTGATGTGTCAGCATTAATTAATGCACATATTTAATACAATTACAGCATGCATTATATAGTAGATATTGTCAGCTTGTGTCACTAGAACAACTAGACTGAGTGTAACAGTGTAACTGACCCGACTGTGTTTTGGGTGAACACATATTGTGTTGTGTATTGTGTATTGCACAGTTACAATCAGATAATCTTTGTTGTTATATTGTTCCATGTAAAGTAGTAGCTACATTTTGGATACACCTGCTCATTTAAGGGTTTTTCTTTATCTAAAATATTTTCAATTTTGTAGAAAAAAACTGGGCTACAAAGTGGATCAGTGGTTAGCACTGTTGCCTCACAGCTAGAAGGTCGCCGGTTTGTGTCCCGGTGAGGACACCCGATCTTTCTGCGTGGAGTTTGCATGTTCTCCCCGTGCAGCGTGGGTGTCATTGTCGACCTGGGAGGGAGGTTCTTAGTCAATGCAATTAATTGTTAGCAGCGAATATGCTAGCGAATAGCAGCGTTAGCAGCGAAGACGACAGTAGTGAAACTCCATCAGCGCTTGGTGGTAAATATTTTCTCATTACGTACCCTCTAAAACAGCGTGTCGGCCCAATTTGCAGCGTATTATTATTAGAATTATTTGCATAATTTATTTCATGACTGAATCACTTATTCACATACAGGGATTCCCACTGAATGTAACAGAAAGTCCCGGAGCCGCTATACCGGGATGCAAGGTTGACGAGTTGAAAGCCGCAGCCCGCTATAGCTATAGGCTACGGTGTTGAAAGGGAAAAACTGTTAAGTTAAGTATCTGCTCTGATCTTAATGGGACCATCATCGCTTTTTCAGCAGGACAATGATCCATTTCACACCTCCAGTCTCTGGAAAGGCAGTTAAAAACTAAAAAGCAGAGTGACGGACTGCTGCATCAGATGGTCTGGCCTCTACAAGCATCAACCTAGACCTGGCTGAGGTGGGTTGGGATTAGTTTAGATCTAAAATTTCTATATGATCTGTCAGTCCTTCACACTCTAGAGCAGGGATCTCCAACTCCGGTCCTCGTGAGCTACTGTCCTGCAGGTTTTAGATGTTTCCAAACTGCAACATGCCTAACTCACATTAATGGATCATTAACAGACTTGTGTAGAACTTGACAACAAGCTGTTGGAGATCCATTAATGTGAATCAGGTGTGTTGCAGAACAGAAACGTCTAAAACCTGCAGGACAGTTGCTCACGAGGACCGGAGTTGGAGATCCCTGCTCTCGAGTATATTGTGTGATGATGCAGTAATATTCCAATTACAATTTCCAGACTAGTTCATATATTTCATTAGGAGCTGTAATGAAAAGGATCATTTATGATTTGCTTCTCGCTCCCCTACTGCTGGTGTCCTGTCCTTTTGCATTCAGTCGTGTGAGACGAACTTTCTCTCTCTGGTTGAGTCACGGCCATCTGTGGGTTTTGCAAAAGCTTTGACAGAGCTCCTTTTTTTCCTCTCTTCACGCTCACTTCTGAACACCAGCATTTATCGCCAAGGTTGGCTTCCTTTTTCTGACTGAGAATTTCTCTCATTCAGAGCAGAAATTTAAAACACACGTTCCAGACACGTTCTTCACTCTTTCTGAAGGCTGGAGCTGAATGTGACGAGGCCTTTTCTTTTTTCAAGGTGAAAGTGTTTGTTTGTCTTTCACTGGGAACATTTCAGTACACAACGCTGTCACATTTTATAAACCTGACTCTCTACCAAGATGTCATATGTAGCGCTTCGTTTTTAACCTATAACTTAATTACACACTAAAAGAAAGAAAGAAAAATTCAGGAGAAATAATTGAAAAATAATGCCTATTTAAATGAAACAAAACATGATGAAGGCTCCATGAAACAATCATCTGCTGGAATTCAGCTGGATTACTTTTTCACTAAATTTCACATTCAGTTCTTTAATTTGTCTCTGAAACTCAATAAACAAAATCATGGATTTATAGGTAAAGCTGTTGATGTTGTTCACTTCTTTTTAAAGATTGTCAGCACGATTTCTCAAATATAACCTGGAACATTTACATGAGAGAGAATCAGTCCCTCGTTTGAAACAAGCTATATTAGAGACAGGCCTGACTTTCTCCTGTATTTTTTTGTTACATTTTTAATTTGATATAGTAATTAAATAGAAGTCTCCCTGTTTTCTGACTCCTCTTTAAATTAAATCTAATTTCCATAGCAATGATTCAAATTTCAAATTCAATTGAAATTCATTTGAATTGAATTTCCCTTCTGGGATAAATAACGTATTTTTCATTTCATTTCATTCATTTCCATCAGTACAGTCATGCCTCACCACAAGGCTGAACACACTTTCTCTGTGTCACAACACTCTTCATTCATTTGTTTGTTCCAATT